AATTTCGCAGCGAACTTGGCATACTGTCGAAATCGAGCTAGAGGGCACAAAGCTTCAGTCGCACGTGAAAGGACACATACAGGCACCATCCGTCAACTCTCTAGAGAACGTCCCTCTCCCTTTCTCCCTTTTCTCTTTCCCGGCGACGACATTAGGCTCAGGCTAAATCACTTATTTTCTTGCCTATACCGGCACTCTGGAGGCTAACCGTTGTTTCATGACTGTTTGCTATGCGCGTCCTATGGATGTATTGTAAACAAATAGGCAAGTAACTGGTTTGGCTATAGTTGAGCATATCGTTGGCCGCGCTGCGTGCTTCGTATGGCAGCGGGAGCACATGCAAAAAACCCTTTCAATCCTAATTTGCGGATCATTTAGCCAACCAGTACTACTTGTCCTAGTGAAACTGCGTTTATACTATGTGGTAGCGTCCACCAGCGTCTACGAGCGGTCAAGGGTACGGTATTGTGTAGTAGTACGGTGCGGTGGCACAGGCGACAGTTTCACGACGCCTAATACAGCTGTCTTCTCCCTCCTACTTCCCCATACTCTCTACTCCTGGTCGCTGGTGGAGGCTGGTAGACGCTAGATTGATACCCATACTTTCCTAGTCTCCCTAGACGCTGATGGTCGCTGGTGGACGCTGGTGGTAGACGCTGCCGTTCGCTAGATCGATATCTACACTCTCCTGGTCGGTGACGCTGATGGTTGCTGCAAAGTATGAACGCAGCCTTATCTTCTCACATCAAATTGTTCGCTGTACGTCATCGGTGTATTACTATTTGCGCCAACCGCAAATATCAATGCGTCTATGATCAGCACGGGGCAGGAGACCGAAAAGTGCCATATGATATTGTATGCAACAGAAAAAACAGTTTGTACCTTCCAAGTGTGTCGCATTCTCGTCTGACTGCAACATTGAGATAGCTACAAAAATACCCGCTCTGACCCCCAGCTTGCTCTCATATGGGGCCTATGGCGGGAAATCGCGTGCAGCCACACCCCGCCCCTCACGTCCAGCTGTGCAGTTTTTCATTTAAAATGGCGGGGGGGGAGGGGCTGAAAGGGCGTGAACTCCTTAATTGCTGAGCCAGGCTGGTCGGGCTACCATGGTAAAACCTGTCAACCCTTGTAAGCTCATGCAATAGCTCTCTAGATGGCTCGAAAACGTCGATAGAAAGTAGCAAAAGGACGAAATGCCCTTCCCCCTCCCGTTGCCGAACAACGCCGTTGATTACAATAATTCCAGGTATTAATCAAGGCGATCTTAGAAAAAAACACCACATGGCAGGTCGTCTTTAATTTAATCAAGCATAACGTAAGTGACTGGTCCGCTCTGATAGAATTTTTACCTATACGTTCAAAAGATGAACTGGGCAATTTCCCGAAAGGGATACTTTTCCAATCACTTCTAAACACGACATTATTTCTATTATAAACGCATGAAACTGTGGCGAACTCATCGACTTAAAACCAGATACTTATCTTCGTGATATTCTTCGCCGAAATTTTGATGGCTCTTATTGTTCTTGTCGGTTGTTGTATTGTATGCTATTGCCGATGGTCTTCCCAAGAGGTCTGTTCTGAAGAAACACACTAAACTGCGAGGTTGTTCTCCTCCATGTGCGAACTTCGTAGCTGTAGAATGGTACCACTTTCGCTGCATGGGAGTGCGTTGAACTGGTGGTGGAAAGATGTGGTGGCTGGGTTTTCTTTGAACCGCGTCATATTTCGCGGCTCGATCTTATCGCACAATTGTGCTCCACCGCTAATCCTTGTGTGGCACCAGCGGTCGAAAGAAGTTTCGTCTTGAAGAAGACTGGATTTGCAGTTGTAGCGGTCCAGCGTTTAGCTATGGAGGGCATTCAGTCATAGTCTCGCTAAGAGCAAATTCCGCGAATGAATCGCTCATATCTCGAAATTTGGACGCAACCTTAGGCTGCCTTCATACTCCGTGGCAGCGTCCACCAGCGTCCAAAAGCTTTCGGGTGTCCGTTAGCGTCAATCAGAAGATAGTGTAGATATCGATCTAAGGGACAGCGTCTACCAGCATCCACCAGCGTCCGCCAGAGACCATCAGCGTCGGGGACTGAGAAAGTACGAATATCGATCTAGCGTCTACCAGCGTACCGGCGATCACCAGTCCACGAGCGACCATCAGCGTTTCCAGCGTTCGTCAGCGTCACCCACTGGAGCAGCGCGCACGAGCGTATGGCTGCGTTTATACTTTGCGGCAGCGTAGCGTAGCGTAGCGCAGCGTAGCGTAGCGTAGCGTAGCGCTTCCAGCGTACGCCAGCGGCAGTGCCGAAGAGAGGATGCATATCGATCTAGCTTCACCAGCGTCACCAGCGGCACGCTGGCGTACGCTAGCGGCACGCTAGCGTACGCTAGCGTTTCTCCAGCGTTTCACCGAACGTTTTTTGTAGCCTAGCGTTTTGCAGCCGCGCATGGGAAATAGAGGACTATGCCGGATGCAGCTGGAGGGAACGGCATACAAACACATACGATTGCCCGTTTCTCACCCCGCCCTCTCCAGTATCTCTACAATGCGCATCGTTCTGCGTCTTCGACGGGACCATAGTCTCTCAACCTGCCCTCGCCCCTTTACCTCGCCGCTCTTTCGCACGCCCCCCACGTGACCGAGCACCACTGTAGTCTCTACAATGCACATCGCTTCTGCGTCTTCGACGGGCACATAGTCTCTACAATGCACATCGCTTCTGCGTCTCTCACGGCCACATAGTCTCTACTCCCTGCCGCTGCAAGCGCTAGCAAAACGCTGGTGAAACGCTGGAGAAACGCTGGCGTACGCTAGCGTGCCGCTAGCGTACGCCAGCGTGCCGCTGGTGACGCTGGTGAAGCTAGATCGATATGCATCCTCTCTTCGGCACTGCCGCTGGCGTACGCTGGAAGCGCCCCTACGCTAGCTACGCTGCGTGCGCCTACGCCCTACGCTACGCTGCGCAAAGATATAAACGCAGCTATCGAGGGGACTGGAGAAAATTACATGTGCCAGTTCTCTGCGGACGGTGGGGCCGGCCTCCTCGCAGCCACGCTGGCTGGCGGCCCGATATGTGCCTGTTGGTCGAAAGCGGCAATAGCCTTGCCCCTGCGTCTCTGACACTGACTCTGCGCTCTAACGCACGCCGCCGCACAATCTACCCACTCTCCCGCTCTGGGCTCTCGCCGATCGATAATTGCCAGCAGTCTTGATTCTTACCGCACTTTCGCAGCTTTTTTTCTACATGCAGCCTAACAGAAAAGCCCTTGCGAATTTCGACTCTTCGGCTAATACCGTCAAAGGTGAAGTATCTTTTACTAACAATTTATCACAATTTTTGCACGAATTTAGCTTGAAAATTCCCTTAAAACATTTTTTTCTTCTGATTTTTGCAATTCGTCCAAACTTTTCCTTATCGTCCCCAGTTTTTTTTATGTTATTGACCGGCTTTTCGAAGTAGAGTCTCAGATGTGATCTCGTTATTATCGAGAACCATCTTTGACTCTGTTTTGAAGCTCGGAGAGCGCACACTTGCTACATAATTCACTCCAACATTACCAAAAAAGCGGTTCACTATTAGAGAACACAGACGCAGATTCGATGGACAGAATTCAAAAGGAAGGAGAAACAAAAAAATAAAAAATAGTCAGCAGAGACTCACAAAATTTCAGGAATATGGGAAAAGGGGACCATTAAGGCGACTGAGCTTTCAAAACAGAGTCAAAGATGGTTCTCGATAATAACGAGATCACAAGACTCTACTTTGAAAAGCCGGTCAATAACATAAAAAAACTGGGGACGATAAGGAAAACTTTGGACGAATTGCAAAAATCAGAAGAAAAAAAATGTTTTCTAAGGGAATTTCAAGCTAAATTCGTGCAAACCTTGCTAATAACAATTTAGTAAAAATACTACCTTCGGACGCCGTTAGAACGCGAAAGTCGGAAATTCGACCAGATTTTTAGCAGTAACTATGCCCTAGGATACGGAAAAAAAATGGCGTCAATCAGCTGATAGGCAGCGTCAGCATTCATAGATCGGCACGAAGAGTGCCAGGACGGAAGGGTGAGTAGAGGGCGCGGTTGGGTGTGTTAGAGCGCAGAGTCAGTGTCAGAGACGGAGGGGCAATGGTGATAATTTCCTGAAATTTCGCGGCTTTCCATCGCCACGCCATCAGCGGAGCGCTCGCCGGCGTGGTCGTAGGGAACGCCCCACCGTCCGGTGAGCACTCCACTGTATAGATATCGCATTTGGCACGTCTACAAGTGCGACAGAGAGCACGGGGAAGTGAGAGTTTAGCAGACTGCAGGTAGAGTAAAGAGAAGCAGGAGGGAGGAGGCAGCTCGATTAGGCGTCGTGAAATTGTGGCATGTGCAACCGCATCGACTACGACCCACCGTACCGTACTCCTGTTGCTCGTGGACTGGTGATCGCCGGTAGTGGTTGGCTAGTGGTTGCCGGTGGATGCTGCCGCAAAGCATGAACGCAAACTTAATCTGTCTGCTATTTGGTATGTCATATGCGTACCGTACATTGATAGCATTTTAGTAAGAAGGATAGCTGGGCGACAGGGCACTGTACTGGACATGCTGACAACAAATCAGCAACGTGCGGTATGTGCCAAAGTCGAGCTGTAACGAACAATGGAACGCTAGGTAAACGCGAGAGGGCGCGGACAGCTAGTGAGTCCAGTAATGACTAAGGGCGTGGCTAGCCGTATGGCGTATTGCATCGCGTATAGTGCGCTTTGGTTGCACGTATCCTTGAGCTACCACTATCCTCCAGCTTCACTGCCACGCACTTCCAATGGCAAAAGTGGTAAGTCTTCATAGTTGCGCACCTGCCCACCATCCCTCAGACAAATTCAACCTCGCACGTAAATGTATATTCTATTTTTGATAAGCTTTCGTTTTTATGTAACAAATCAAATTTTTCGTAGGAAAAACCAAAAAGCAGATATATCTGGTGTGCCTGGATTCTGTTTATATTTTGTGCTGTGATGTCAGTAACATGTATTGTGCTGGTCGCTAGTGGAGCTCATTCCATCACCATCGGTCTTGATGCGTTACCAGAACGAGTGAACAAATCCGCATCAAGTAAGCCTTGCAATCACTGATCAGACAAAGCTATTTTAGCCGGCGACAGATTCTTCCCTCGAGACCAAAGACGAGCAAAGGCGCTCTAAATAGACTACTTGAAGGCAAGTGGCACGGTAAATCGACGAGGCGTAGAGGGTCGATACTCCTGCACAAAAGAATACTGCGCCCCTTTTCAGGAAATGCGTGGCGCCTTTTCAAACCAGGAGCACCGTTGTAGCGCCTAACCAAGGTGCAACATGCCGACCCACACGCCCACTGCAACCGCCCGCCCTCCAAATGACCAGACGGCCACATCGACGCTGGCGCTCTTATCGCTTCATTTATGAAGTGCAAAATGAAGCGCTGCTACGTGGATATATGAAAAAAAATGTGCAGCCGTGTCTTCAAAGCAGCTCTTGACACGACGATAATGGGAAACTCGTCCAAAAGTGCTCTTCGAATGCCGTGCAAGACACGGCTTTTTTTTCGCAGGTTTTTGCCGTCTAACTTCACATTTCCGTCCTTTTCCTCCACCAGATGGACCCGTGCTACCATTCTTGAGCAAGTACCACATTCTCTTGCCCTATGCCTTTAACATTGTCTCGTCGTATGTGACCTACGTAAAGGGAGCAAATCATCTCAACTGTGCACTTGAAAAAGTAACTCTACTAAGGGGACCAAAAAAGGGTCCAAGAAAACAAGAGCTGTAAACTGGTGGTGAATAGAGAACAAGTTTTCCCACCCAGACATGCTATTAATCTATCAGCCTGGAAGGCTCGCTTGTGGACAGGCAAGAGTCCATGCGAGATTGGAACCCAGAGTCGTGCTTGTGGTGCGCCGCCCCATGCCACTAGACCGCGTTCGTCTCTCAGAATCAGTCTACAGATGCTCTCCAGCAGTCTGCCTAATGCACGAGCTCGATTTTTCCAATACGAGCATCTCTTTTTCAGGTGTCGAAAGTTACGTAGAACAGTTGGAAAACCAGTTCAAATGTCAGTTCGACTATGAAGTGAACAACATCAGTGACTACATTGAGGGGGCCGCGAAGCAGATTCGAAAAGATGTGGACGCCTTAAGCAATACATTCCGCGACTTTGAAAAGGCTACAGCGAACGTAAGATTGTGAAATGCTAAGTAGAAAGAGGCATTCCATCCACAGGCCAGTGTGACTCCAGAAGTATGCCACAATCATATACCTTTCAGTTGGACGAGAGAGATTTAAACACCAAGCTCACCTCATTGATCCACGGTGGAAAAGCTGATTCAGGCAAAGTCGTAACTCTGGTGAGTCATGATTTCTAACCAATGAAATGCTGTGGACATGATTCAGCTCCGATGCTAGATCTTCTTATTCTATAGCGTTTTTTCCCGCTCAGTGGCAAGGGTCTGCAAGATCGGCATTTTGCACTTTAACGACTTCCCATCGACGTGTCGACCCATCTAGACAGCCTCTTCTCGAGTTGACAGGTTTTACCATGATGGCTTGACGAGCTTGCTCCAGCTTCACAAGAGTTCACAGGTTTCTTGAGT